TGACAGCCAGCTTGCCCACACATTGCCCCTCCCTGGAGTAGTAGGGAAAGGAGGAAACACCCCCAACCAGGAAGCCCTACTATGCCTGCAGCTCCTTCCCCCAAGGCTCATGGCTCTGCCATGGCCTGAGCCTCTCGGTCTGACTGTACCAGAGAATGGGTGTCGGGACCCAGGGGTGGAGCATCAGGGGGCTCTGGGGGTGTCTCTGGCCCCAAGCCCAGCTCTGCATTCAGCTGCTCCAGCTCCCCCTGATCCAGCAACTCAAAGTCCTCAGTGGTGAGTGCCTCTTCTTCCTCAGGGGCAGGCAGGGGCTGCGGTGAGTCCTGGGGAAGAGGTGAGAACACGGAAGAGGAGGGGACTGGGTCACTGTCAGCAAAGCAAAGTGGGGGTGTCAGGGTGCTGGGTGGAGCACTGAGGTCACCACTCACGGCCTCTGGGCTCAGTGTTTCCACTGGTCCTCCAGGGGAGCACTTCACTCCATCTGGGGAGGACCCTGCCCCGTTGAAGTGCGTGTTCACAAAATGAAGGGGGGATGAGAGCCGAAGCAAGGTTTCCTTAGCTGCCACATCTTCCTCTTCCTCTGAGTCCAGGGCTTGCCTTGACAGGGTCTGAGGGGGTCCCAGTAGGTCTTCGGGAGGCACTAGCTCTGCCTCCTCTCCCTCTCCCAGCTCCCGGCTCAGGGCCTCCTCCGGCTCACTTGGCAGGCTCTGTTGGTCCAAATCTGTGGAGTAAACACAGGGTTAGGAATCAGCCTGCTGCTCTAACTTGCCACAACAGCCAATCAGTTCAAGGACGAGAACTCAAGACACAGAATGCTGGGCCAAACCTAGGGGTCAGGATCTTTCAGGAGCTTAAGGCAGAATGAGAGGATCAGTTCCCCAAAGAAAACATTCACAGGGGCCAGAAAACAGAACCAGCTACCCCACAGCAGGGAACAGGAAGATGAGGAGGGGCAAGGGGCACCCCATACCCTCAGAGACATCAGTCAATTGTGGAGTTGTGGCCCGGGATACAGAGAAGCCACCACTCTCCAAGATAGAAGCCTCCTCATCCGACAGCTCTGAGTCTGTAATGGCCAATGCCAGTGCTGTTTTCTTCACATCCACCTGCAGAAGAACCAGGAGGAACACAAGTGATAAGAGAACTGATTTTTCAGGGGCACACTCTCCCCTAAAACCTCTGGCTCCCACCCCCTCGAGGGGTGGCAACTCTAAAGCACACAGATTCTCCCCCAGCCTTCTATTTCACACCCCCATCTTCCCTGGACCTCACCACTGCTGAGAAGCCAGCCAGCTCTGCCTCGCTCTCACTCTCTGTCTCTGCCAGTGGTTCCTCACCTCCTGGAGGTATGTTCTTTCCTTGCCGCTCTAGAGAAGCAAGAGCAGTAGGACAGTGACCAAGCATGAACAATGGTAGAGTACAAACATGGTCAAGAAACTGGAGAGCTCAATTCCAAGGCATCTCACAAGCCATAAACCAAAGCCCTCCCCTACTTTCACCCTCCTGGGTTAAGGGAGCCCTCTTACTCCTCTTGTCATGTTTGTGATGCAGGGCATCAGCTTCCGCCTTCATGCTGTAGTCCAGCTGCATGAGCAGGGGCTCGAGGCGAGTGTACATCCTTTGGATTAGCTCATGATAAACCACCAGGGGCCACAGCAGGATACTCAGCACTATGGATTAGAAAGTCTCCTCAGAGCTCCTTATGCCAACTTCCTAAGGGCCCTCATTCACCGAGTCCCTAAACAGGAAGGGCTGAAGGAAGATAAGGTCCCTTCCCAAGGCTGTGCAACCTCTTCCCTCCACACCCACTGCCCTCCTCCTCAGATGACTCTCTGTCACCAATACTACAACATCCCCGAGACCTCCACAAATTGATAACTGAGCAGACGGAGCACAGTCCTCCCTCTGGGTCACACCAGGGAAGAAGAAAGGAGAGGGCTTTGAGAAGGGTAGGACTAGACCCTACTCACAGACAATGTAGGAAATCATAATTCCTGGAACATAGTGTCCCAGCACAGCCAGCACAGCACAGCCAGAGCAGACTCGAGCACAGAACTGCAGAGAAGAGCACAGGGTCTGAGTAAGAAACTGCTGTTCAGCTAGTGGAAGGATGGTTATGTCTTCAAGGAATGTGGTGATCCGATCTAGTCAAGAGATTCAAGACCACCAATTCAGAAGTTTGCAACAGACACTGTCAAAGACCTATAAGTCACACTAATCTGCCTTGGCAGGACAAAGAGGCTATCAGAAGCTTATTCCTTGAGGCATACCTGCCTCCTGTACCGGGAGTAGCTACCAATGTTGCCTCAAGGCCTTTTCCTTCAGGGTCTCCAACAAGGGAGTTAACATCATACCTCCCCCATCTCCCACCTCTATTCCCTCTTGGGACAGGGAACTGTTATATGATGTAGGAGAGGTTACCTGAGCTGGATTCTGCCTCTTGTACTGGAGCAGCTCCTGCAGGTGAATCTGGAAGGTGAGCCAGCTCTCAGCCAGGTATCTGCACAACTCGGGCACACTCAGCAGGTGCGGCCGGGCTCCTGACCCCGCACCCTCACTGGGGAGACATGACATGACCCCTGGAGGCCTCAGACACCAGCTTCCTAGACACTCAAATCCCTCTGAGAATGGCAATGAGATCTTCAGTCTATAAAGGCAGACAACCCACCTCCCAAAAAACAGCTATCCTGGTCTTGGGAAGCAAAGACCACAGGACCCAACCCCCTGCTCCAAAAGGAGCAGGCACACAAACACCTGGGTCCTAAGAGACCAGGACCAAGAAAACTCCATGGCTTATTACTAGTCTATTCACTATGCTGGGGCCTGTGCCTGCAGAAAATGCAGCACTGCCCTGCTCCATGGTGCCATCAGCACCAGCAAGCAAGACAGGATTTGGGCATCTGTCTTCAAGAGGTGGCCTGCACTCACCTGTCAGAGTGTGGCTCCTCTGGGGAAGATGCTATAGAGAGAGGAGGGGGACAGATTATTGAGTGGTAGGGGCCCTAGGAGACACTCCCCAAGGCAGAAATAGTCGTCCCTCCTCTGCAATCCCAGAGCACTTTCTTCAGATGCCAATCACAGGAGGCATTACATGTTATTGTTGTTTGTCTGTCTCCTTTAGACTTCACCCTTTTCAAATATAGGAACCATATTTTATTCATGTTTATAGCCCAAGCAATTCACGTACAGCGCGGCACCTGGTTGCTCCAAAATGGCTATTAAGTAAATATGCAGATAGTACAAAAAACAATAACTTCATATTTATGCAGTTTCTATTGTGTGTGAAGTGCGACCATAACATGTAACACATATTAACTCATTTAATCTTCACTTCCCTATGAAGTAAGTTCTATCGCCCACGTTTTATACATAAGAAAATTGAGGCAAACAGATTGAGTGACGTTAACAAGGTCACACATGGTAAGTGGCAGAGCAGGGAATGGAACCCAAGCAATGTGGTGCAGACTCCACAACCTTAACCAATGCACTCACAGCAAAATTAATTTTGGGAAAGGGGAAATTCTCGTTTTAGGTAATTTCTTGAAACGGGAGGAGGGATGGGGGTATGCCAGGGAGGCAGGTGGCCTGGTAGACATTACCCTCGCCATTCAATCCAACCCAGCGGGATCAAGGCACCAAGCAAGTACCTAAAGGGTGATTACTAAATGAATGAAGAAACACTCACCTGAAACATCAGGGAAAAAGCGAGGCTGCCATAGATCCAGCAGAAAATAGGCCAAAAGTGAGATGCTGAGTAGGAAGAAGGGCCGGAGGGACGACGAAGACAGCAACCTTAGGGAGAGACAGGCACCTCAGCGGCGAGTGGGTGAGAAGATCCTGTGTCCATTTCCAAAGGCGGAAAGGCGCCCATAGATGGGGGAATGCCACCTCTAGGCCTAACTCATGACCCAGAGAGAGGGAGGAATGGGGCAACCTAGGCGGACATCAGCCTTCAAAAACTGGGAGATGAGTCATTCCCACAGGCTAAGTGACAACCCAGAACGGGGAATGGTACTCCCGGGCCTCCCGCCCCCGCTCAGCCCGGCCCCGCCCCCTCCTCCGCGGCCGTTACCAGAAGAGGCCGTTGAGCGCGGCCGCCGTGACCAGGCTGTGCAGCGGCTTCTCCCATACCAGCAGCCGCTGCGCCGCCGCCAGCACCGCCTCCCAGCCGCGGAGCCGCAGCCACAGCGTCGTGGCCAGACGTCCCACCGCCTCGGCCGTGGCCGCCTCCTCCTCCGCCTCGCTGGTGGCCTCACCCATGCCTAGGCCCAGGCCCAGGCCCAGGCCGAGGCTCAGGCCCATCCCCGGGCTCCCACCCGCGCCGGTGTTTCCACCCCCACCGCCGCTCGCCATAGCCCCGCTGCAGCCGCCGCCCGAGCCCGCGAGGAGCCAGGGCTGCGCGGCCGCCGCCGGGGGCGCGTCAGGCGGAAGGGGGCGCAAGCCGAGGAAAGCAGAGGCGGCGGACGAAGGTCACGTGACGGCTGAGCGACGAGCGCATCACATGACGCGGCCTAACTGCCGGGATAGGGCTGTCCGCGCGTGCGCGCAGGTGGCTGCTGGTGACCCTGCGCCTACGCAGGTGTCTGTACTGGCTGTTGAAGTTGTGACTCCAGGTCCGGGTCCAGATCCCGGCAGATTGGCCCATTTTCTTCTTGAAGAGTGGGTAAGGCGGCTAGGAAGTCTAGTGCTGGCCCCCTATCCCCGACTGGAGGGGCAGAAATCGGGCTTCCAGAAGCCGGGTATCCCGGGTAGGATCTGCTGCTGTTAGGGAAGGGCGGCGGCCGTCCCATTACTCAACCCTCTAAGCACTGGACCTCCTTGTTCCCTCCCCTCGACGGGTAAACACGCCAGCGTGTGACTCAACAGACTCGAAAACAGCTTCACCTACTCAGAAAAGTTACCCATCTCTTTCCGTAAACATCTTTCCAGTCTCCGCGTGTCAGAGTGCCTTCCTCCCCACTCCTTAAACGTGAGATTGAGGGCGGGAGGTGAGTTTTAAAATAAAACCTTGTTTAGATGTTGTTTATTTGGGGAGGGGACATGTTTACCCTTTTTGACACTTTTTTGTTTACTTGTGACTGCATCTTTGCAGTAATCCCACAAAGTATGCAACGAGATTTAAAATTTCAAACTACTAAAAGGTATGGCAGAAAGTAAGTTTCTCTTCCATATTGTGTACAATTCAGCCACTGGTAATTTTCTTGTGTATCCTTTCAGATGGTTTTTATGTACATTGCTAAGTGTGTGCATATCTTCCCTTTTAAAAAACAATTGGGATCAATTCGTTCTGCGTCTCGTTTTATTCACTTTTATGTCTACATGGGTACGAAAACATCTGCCTGGCTCGTTCATCCTCAGTGTAGTGCGGTCCCCTAGCAACTGTCCCCATTTCTCAGACAAGGGCGCCTGGGACACCGCTCGTTGACTTAGCCAGGCTCAGTGAGACCAGGAATTCGGGTCCGGCTCCTTCCAGGCGGGAGCCGTAGGCTGGACCGAGCGGGCGGCAGGAAGTGCCAGGCGCTGACTCGCGGGCTACACCCGCGTGGCTTGTGAACGCGGGGCAGACGCGGCACAGGCAGAGTTTGCGCCTCGCAGCCTGGGCTCCTCTCTACTGCGCGAGGTGAGCGCCACACGAAGCCGCCTTCCCCAGGCCTCCGGCCCAGCGCCGCGCCTGGGGCGGAACAGGAAGAAGCACCCGCCTGCCGGGGCTCCGCCTGCCGCCGCCAGCGCGAGGGGAGGGGGCTACGCGGGCAAGGGCGGCGGCCCGTCCCGGGGAGGCAGGCGAGCAGGTGGACAGGCGGGCAAGGACGGCTCTGCGGCTTTCTTACAACTCGTTCCCGTTCCTTCACCTTCTCAGGGCGGCGGCTGGCGGCGCGATGGACGTGGCTGGGCTCCTACTGGACGAAGAAGTCACCTTCTCCCTCACCGGCTTCCAGGACTTCACGGTGAGCGTGCGGGCCCGCCTCCTCCCCAGTCTCCCGGCACTTGGAGCCTGGACCCCGGAAGCTCACCTCCGGGCCCGAGTGGGGCCGCGGGCTCGCCTGACTGCCGTGCTCAGGACTGGGCGGCAGCCGCTCCCTAGCAGTGCCTACTGGAGGCCCCGGCCGCTTAGGCCCTGGGGGAGAGCCGCTGGGTATAGGAATGGGGTAGAGGTGGCCAGACCGGAGGTCCATCTCAGGGAATCTCTCCCTGTTAGCTCTTGGTGGGGTTGGGGGTATTCCTCTCCTTTGGGACCAGCTGCCATTGGCAAACAATCCAGAGAGAGGGGTTGGGTGAGGCGGGCTTGCCTCCCCACAGCTCCTTCCAGCCTGGAGGCAGGATCTCCATCGTACTCTTTCTGCCCTTCACCGCCCGGCTGCCTTGTTTCAGTTCCTCCCAGGACACCAGAAGCTGAGCGCCCGGATCCGAAGGAGACTTTACTATGGCTGGGATTGGGAAGCTGACTGTAGCCTGGAGGAGCTCTCCAGCCCAGTGGCAGGTCAGGGTCAGGCAGTGTTGTGTGCCTGGGCAAGCAAGAAGAGCATGAAAATGGGGTAGTCAGCAGACACCAAAATGACTGGAGGTTTACCCACGAGTGGCACTGTTTTTTCATAGTTAGCTTATTGGTACTCGGTTCAAGAACACAGTTTATGTTCATTCTTTTAGTCCAAGTGAGTAAAAAACATTGCTTTCTCACAAATCTATATCACTATTGATTTACATACCAGAAACTTTTAATTTTTTAAGGATTTCTATTACGTGTACCCCCAGGTAAACAGGCACATTTATTTCTCAGATGAACAACAGTGAAAGACAAATCCGGGTAATTTCAGGTAGCAGGGAAATAAGCTTTCCTGCTAGGATGAGCTGAAATTCTGTCTTGGAATGGGCTTTTTGTCTCAGTGTGGGAGAATTTTATCTCTATTTTGTTACTATGGTCCTGTCCCCAAGGCATAACAAAATATAGATCTGGGTCTTCTACTGAGAGCAGTGAGGACTGGTGTGTGGGAGCTGTGCGTTCACTCTGCCTTCTTTCTGTCCTGTGCAGACATTGCTGTGGAACTGCTCCAGAAGGCAGCCCCCAGCCCTATTCGCCGACTCCAGAAGAAATATGTAGCTCATGTGTCCCGGTGAGCCTGGAATTAAGGAGGATAGGATGAGAATGGGCCCTAGAGAGAGTAGGGTGGTTATCTCTAAAGAGAAGATGTAAAGACGAAATGAGCATGAGTTGCAAGTACTGAAGGACCCTGGGGTTTAATTACTGGTCCTTTCCACCCAGGGAAGCATGCATCTCCCCCTGTGCTATGATGCTAGCTCTGGTGTACATTGAGCGGCTCCGGCACCGAAACCCAGACTACCTGCAGCATGTGTCATCCTCAGACTTGTTTCTGATCTCCATGGTAAGGCACCCCCTCCCCTTCCCCTCCCTAGTGAGCAAGGAGCCTGGTGTGAGCTCTGCTGACACCACTTCTGGCTCCTGTGCAGATGGTGGCCAGTAAGTACCTCTATGATGAAGGGGAGGAGGAGGAAGTCTTCAATGATGAATGGGGAGCTGCTGGGGGAATGGCTGTGCCTACTCTCAATGCCTTGGAGAGGGGCTTCCTGAGTGCCATGGTGAGTAGCTAGCTGTTCTCTTTTTCCATTTCCCTGGCCCATCTTTACCTTCTTTTCATCCTTTGTTCTCTCTTGGCCTTCTGTTGTTTCTTCATTTCTTTCTCTGCCTGTCCTCCTTGTACCTTTCTGTTAGTATCTTCCCTTCCTACCCTTTCAGAACTAAGCACAACTTTTGGGGGTTCCTGGAGCAGTAAGGCCAACATTGGAACATTTCCTCCCCTCCTCTATTTCTCCAGGGCCCCACAGGGTACACTCTGAGTCAGAGCTTATCCTACTGGGCTTTGAGTATTTGCTTCCAGACTTTTTTTGCCTTTAGATTGTGAGTTCTGTATGGGCATGGGCTATTCTCAGGGTCATTTTCTTGTCTTCCTTAATTGAGAGTATACTGTGAAACCAGGTAGATGGTGTTTAATGAATTAATACATAAAAGCTGTTGGGTCAGTATCCAGCATATGTAAGTGCCAAATAAGCATTAGCCATAGTTCTGGTTGTAGTTCTGCTATGGCTCTTGTTATTAAATAATTGTGGCTCGTATCTGAGTCTGGGTTGTGTTCTCTCTTCTTACCCATAGGATTGGCGTCTCTACACTGACCCTCGGGAGATCTTTGAGGTGCTCAGCTGGCTGGAGAGCTGGTAGGTTCTAGAAGTTGGGAAGAGGGGCTCAGGGGATTTGGGGAATGAGGCCTAAGCTATAGGAGGTAGAGAGAAGGGTCTGTGTAATGGGGGAGGGAGGAGACAAGAAAGAGAATTGCCATGGTAGTGGTTCCCAAACCTATCTGTCTTCTTCATAATCACCTTTGGGAAGGTGGGAGTGGCTTATTGAAAATACAGGTCTTAGTCTCACCTTCATTTTTGGATCAGCAGATAGCCTAGCAGTCTGTATGTTTAGCAAGCTCCCAGTGCTTTCTAGTGGGCCCTGAGGGGTATGAGTGTGCCACTGGTCTGGCTGCAGGAGAGTTGTCACTATCTCTGTTATTGTTCCCTTTCCACCAGTGTGGCTGAGCAGCAGGGACGGCGGCGGGGCTGGTATACCTACACAGACCTGTGTGTGCTGTTGGAACAACCAACCTGGCAGTTGGCCCTGAGCTTGCTCTGCCAGAGGCTAGTAAAGGTGAGGAGGGGCTGGGAAGGCTGGGGAACTTGCGTGGGCTGGTGTGTAGGGTGTCAGGCAATTGCTGTGTGCTGGTGCCAAGCAATTGGTGAAAAGCTCAGGAGATGAGGATTGGGAGTAGATGGGCAGAGTGGGGTGTAAATGGCTATAGAGAGTTCCAACTTGAAAATCTCTAGAGACAAGGGATTAGTGTGTTAAAGACAGTCAGAATTCTGTTTCTTTCTTATTTCCTCTTCTGCAGCTGTCTTGCCTGTTAGCCGTGGCATATGTGAGCAGTGTGGCCCTGGCTGTGGCATCAGTGGCTGTAATACATCATCAGTCCTTGGGGCTGTCCTGCAGCCCTCCACCTGGCCCCCCTGATCTTGGAGTGACCTCCCGGTGCCTCTTGGAGCCCTGCATACCTTCTGTACCACAGTGCCTGCCATCTCCTGCTAATGTCTCCAGCTGCCCAAAAGGCCACATAGGGCTGCGTTCACTCTGGGGCAGTCTTCTGGCCTCACTGACTCCCCCTCCGTTGCCTCCCCCAGAACCCCCTGCCCCTCCCACTCTTCTTCATAACTGCCCCCTTTGCCAGAAGCTCCAGAGAGACTCTCCAACCTGCCGTGCCTGCCATCACCCCAATCATACTGTCCCCACCGGACCTCCCAGCCCCTGGTACCACACCCATGGCATGGCTCCACCCTGGCCCTGGAGCTCTGTGCCCCCACCCCTACCCCAGCCCCAGCAGTGTTCCCTTTTTAGTGTCATGGAGCTGGCCCGCCTCAAGTCTTTCATTTTCCCGGGCTAGGCAGGGCTCCGAGGAATGCATTAAGAGGATTTGGGAGTCCCTGAGAACCTGGAGGAGCAAAGCTTGATTTAGATGCTCTCTGCCTCTCTGGGTCCTTGGAGGGTCCCCTGTCCTTCTGGGTAGGAGCTTAAGGGGTGGTGTTGCAGAGGACTGAAGGTCTTTCACTCTCCTAGACCTCAGTGGCTGGCTGTTTGGCCAGGACAGTGATGGTGCCAGGAAAGGCTTCTGCTCAGTGACCCAGGGGTGTATCATGATGGACATAGGAGAAGCCCCTGTCTCTGTCTCTTTTGGGCTCTTCTAGACTTTTGCTTTTGAGTTCCCTAGGATGGAAGGGTAAAGATAGGAGTTGGGGAAAGTGAGGTGAAGGGAGGAAGGAAACATTGACATGGCCTGTGTGATGTCCCTGAGGCAGGAGAGCCAGGGACTGATGGGATCAAGGAGGGAGCTACTGAGGGAAGGCCAAGTGAGGTGGGAAAACTTGTTTGCTCCCATTCCTTGAATGTACTCTAATGGAGCAAAACTGCTGGGGCCTTCAACCTTTACCTTTTGTCTTCCAACCTTTTCTTCTTAGTGCCCTGCTCCTAGGCTTCTCTCTCTTCTGGTTCCTCTCCTCTTCCCAGGCCTCTGGCCTCTGCTTTGTATCTGGGTTTTTCACGCTTTTGTAGAACTGAGATTTCAATAAACAGTTTCAGTTGCATGGCCTGGACTTTTCCTTCTGCGGCAGCCCTTAAAGATCTCTTCTCCCTGTATCTGCCTTCCAAGCCTCCCTACTTCCTGATCCTGTCATCTTGCGAACTGTTTTCTCTGAGCCCCATTTCAGAACTTCCCTATTGTTTTATATAGTCAAAGGTGCTTATTTCCAACTCCCCCTCATCCCTTCTCCCAACACCACAGAGCCCTAATGCTGTTCAACTTGGGGTGCTGTGGGACACAAATAGTGACTCCCATGCCTGGGTTGGCCCTATCTGTCATGTGTTCTGGGTGAGCACCATCCTGTGGATCCTGAAGCATGTATCAGGCAAAGGCTCCCAAGAGTGCCTTGAGGGCGATCTCCTTGAGGGCAAGCCCCGAGGACACTTTTTATCCTGATGTCATCAGTCTGACACGTGGTGGTAGTCATATGGTGTTTGTTTAACAACTTAACTCCAAGCCTGGGTCATCACTGGAAGAATGAAAACATTCTGGGCAGCTCAACAGAAGGTATATGGGACCACTGAAGATCACTCACAGGAGGGGTGGTACTGCCTCCTAGGGGACATTTTAGAAATTTATGGGCCGTTTTTTGGTTGTCAAAAGGTTCTGAGGGCATGTTATAGAAGGTGTTTTAGTTATCCTGGGTAGGATGCTAGACTTCCTAAAATGCTCAGGACTTCCATACTGTGAAGAATTCCCAAGACAGTTTGAATGACTGGCTGGTGATCATCATGTCTATGAAAATTCTGTTTATATTTATCTAAGCCTAGGACTATTACATGTAAACATGAAATAGTTTTGCACATTTTGGAAAAAGACTCAGCTTGCCTGGAATGTATCTCCATGTCAATTAGAACAAATTCATTTTGCTCAGCACTTTACCAAGAGTTTGTTCGCCATTTTGGAAAGTCAGGTTACCAACGTTAGCACTGCTTGTGGTCTCTGAGTCAAAAATAAAGCACCAGTATCAGTTGGCCTTGTAGCTGTCGCATCCACAGCGATTCTACATATGGATGTGGGAATCGGACTACTTCATTGTCTTCTGGTTTAGTTGTGCCAAGCTTTCATATAATGAAATGCATGTTATTGTAAATTTCATTTCTACATCACAGTGAGGACATCATATGGAGTAGTGGCTGTTGTCATGTGTGATGTAGTGTATGTCATTCACAAGTTTCATTTTTAGGTAGTCCAGGGGGCCTGGTCCTAAAAGGGTTGAGAACTATGGATCTAGTGGTGACGGTTTTGAATGTTGGTGCTGGGAGAGAGGAAATACAGTCTGCAAAATCTCCCCAGGTTATTTTGGTGGGTCTTCTCCCCACCCCTCCTCTCCTACTTTCCAGAACCTGGTCTAGCAGTGGGGGATCTGGGTGAAGATTCTTGGGGGAGGGGGTCCAGAACTTGGCTTTCCAGTTAATGGCTGATGGAATTTGCACAAGAGCTGGGCAAAGGTGAAAGGGCTTTGTCCTGCCCCAAATTCCTCATCCCTTTGCTCCGCTTCATTGACACCCCCACCCCTCCCCAGCCCCTCCCTAACTTCACCCAAACTCTGACCTCTGACTCTCTATTTAACTCTGGCCCAGGGCTGCCCAAACAAGACAAAAGGCAGGGCAGCATGAGCGGATCACACCCCCATTCTATCCAACTCCGATCGGTGGGTTCCCAGGATGTCCTGGCTCCCCTGCCACCACCTGCTCCCCAGAATCACTCCTCCCACTCCTGGGCCTCTCTGTGTGGGCCTCCGCCCTGGGGCCTCAGCTGTCTTCTGGCTCTGCAGGTAGGAGACAAAAGGCATAGGAGTTGGTGCTGGCTGAAGGAGGTGTTTGGGGGAGGAGGTGTGGCATGAGAAGGCCTCTGGAAATAGGTATTTCCTTCTCTTCGTCTCCCCCTTCCTCCACCTGCAGCATATCTTGGTCATGGCATCTCTGCTTTGTGCCTCCCACCTGCTCCTGCTTCGCAGTCTTGCCCCAGGAGGACTCTCTTACTCCCCTTCTCAGCTCCTGGCCTCCAGCTTCTTTTCATGTGGTGTGTCTACTGTCCTGCAAACTTGGATGGGCAGCAGGTGAGGGGAACTTTTCTGGGGGAGAGGTGTGGGGCACTGAGGTGAGGGGTAGGAGAGGCTCGGGGGAGTCCTATTGGCTGCCACATGTTTTCAGACTTGCTGGGGCTGCTGTTCCTACAGGCTGCCTCTTGTCCAGGCTCCATCCTTAGAGTTCCTTATCCCTGCCCTGGTGCTGACCAGCCAAAAGCTACCTCTGGCCATGGAGACACCTGGAAACTGTGAGCACAGAGCAAGGGCAGGGGGTAAGGGTGGGATTGGGTGGTCATCTGAGTATAGAGGTGTCGGTGGGTGCAGGATTGAGTCTGGGCAGTGGTGGGACTGCTAGGCTCTGGAGGGGTCTTGCAGCTGTGCCAGGCACCAGCTAGGACTATAGAGCAATGGGTCTCCATCCCATGTACCTTTCTCCTCTCCATGCCCCAAACTTCTCCCAGCCTCCCTCTTGCTGCACCTGTGTAGGGGGCCTGGCTGCCATGGCCTGGAGCTCTGGAACACTTCTCTCCAAGAGGTGAGCCCATGGGGATGGGAAGCAGGAGGGATAAGAGTGGCCAGGCCTGGGGAGGGTTTTGTTTCCATTATGAAGGAATTAAGATGCTCTGGGGAAGGAGTCTGGGGAGGAACCCATACCTGAATTAGTTAGCAAGTCCAGGCTGAGGTCAGTTTGATTGAGCAGAATGTTTCTCTCCATCCTCTCCTCTCCCAGGTGTCCGGGGCAGTGGTGGTGTCTGGGCTGCTGCAGGGCGCACTGGGGCTGCTGGGGAGTCCTGGCCACTTGTTCCCCCACTGTGGGCCCCTGGTGCTGGCCCCCAGCCTGGTTGTGGCAGGGCTTTCTGCCCACAGGGAGGTGGCCCAGTTTTGCTCTACTCACTGGGGCCTGGCCCTGCTGTACGTGAGTCCTGAGATGCATGGGATGGTGCCTGGTGGGGTGTGGACTGAGGGAGGGCAGAGCTGCTGGCCCTATCAGAATCAGCAGCGACCCAAGCAGGAGCAACACTTTTTGTATTTGGAATCCTTGATTCACCTGGTCTCCCTGACTTTCACACTATCTTCTGCTGTCTCCCAAGGAACCTTTCTCCCCTTCTATGAGGTTTCTGGGACCCCCTTTTATGGTATTCTGCCCACTCCCACCTCTTTTACCACCCCTCAGGATGTCTGTTGCCTCTCACTCCTAAAGCTCCTTCTCTCTCCTAGGGTTATCCTGCTCATGGTGGTCTGTTCTCAGCACCTGGGCTCCTGTCACATACCTGCATTCCCCTGGAGGCCAGCTTCACCCTCTTCAACTCACACTCACCTCCCTGCCTTCCGGCTGCTCTCGGTACATGGGGGTCTGGGCAGGGACAGTGGAGGTCAGAAGGGCTGTCATGGAATGCTCACTCCACCCCTTAGGTTTTGGCTTCTGTCTACCCCTCTTGAGGCAGGCTTAGAAGGTTCTGGAGGAGGAGTTCTTCCCAATCTCAGTCTTGCCCCTTAGGTGCTGATCCCTGTAGCCTGTGTGTGGATCACCTCTGCCTTTCTGGGTGTCAGCATTGTCCCCCAGGAGCTGTCTGCTCCCCCAAAGGCACCATGGTTTTGGCTGCCTCACCCAGGTAGGTTTTCTCCTAGTCCTCCATGCTCTTGCTCAAATAAAGATACCCATTTCTTTGAACTCAAGACTTAATGGATTTCATTCCTGAGTCAAATCCTGTGTTTTTTCAAAATGCACAGAGAGAAACTGCCAATGTGAGGGGCAATCCAGCCCCTTACCAAAGGTGTTTTATTAGGGGCAGTGCTGGGAGACAGATGTCTATAGTTAATGCATACCTCACCATGCACTACTGCTACTAACCCCATTGACACACTTATGGTACCATCCCCATGTGCATTTGAGTTGGCAACTTATGTGGAAAGATTGCTTTTGAGGCACTGTATGTGAAATTTGCTCATTCATCAAATTAAGGCTCCTTGAGTGATGATTATTTGCTAGGCACATGGCAGGGTAGGTCGTAATGAGCATGACGGACACAGTACTTGCCTTCACAGAACTTATAGGCTATTGGGGAATACAGATACTAATTAGTCACCCAAGTAAATGTAAAATTGCCATCATGATAAGTGTAACCAACAAGAAATACATTGTGTGATGAGGGCTTACAATGGGGAATTTGACTTTATCAGGGAGGTCAGGAAAGGTATTTTTGAGGAAGTGTGATTATTGAGCTGAGATGTGAAAGATGAGAAGGAGCTAAATGCACAAAGGCAGGGCAGAAGAGTATTCTGGTAGAGAGAACAACATATGCAAAGGCCCTGTGGTGGCTGGGAGCACAGCAAGTACAAGGGCCTAAAACAAGGCCAGTGTGTCTTGGTGAAGGAAGTGAGGTGGAGCGTGGTAGGAGATGAGGCCAGAGAGAAAGGGAAGGGTCAGATCAAAGAGGACACTGTAGAGCATGGGGAAGGAATGGGTCTCTCTTCTTAAAGTTCAGTGGTTTTGTTCTAAGACATCATCTTCGAACATGTTGTGGCATTCTTGTGGCACAGGCCACTGGAGGCAGGGGGATGCTCCTGACTTGAGTCTGGCCCCAAGGTGGCTCCTTCTCCCTCTCCAGGTGAGTGGGACTGGCCTTTGCTGACACCCAGGGCTTTGGCTGCAGGCATCTCCATGGCCTTGGCAGCCTCCACCAGCTCCCTGGGCTGCTACGCCCTGTGTGGCCGGCTGCTGCACTTGCCTCCACCTCCTCCGCATGCCTGCAGTCGAGGGCTGAGCCTGGAGGGGCTGGGCAGTGTGCTGGCTGGGTTGCTGGGCAGCCCCATGGGCACTGCATCCAGCTTTCCCAATGTGGGCACAGTGAGTCTTATCCAGGTAGGTGGACCCAGGATGGGGGTGGGGGTGGGAGCTGGGGGTGTAGAAGAAGTAAGAAATTCACACTGATCCATCACCAGCTGTGCCCAGCACTCCTCAGGTACTTTACATCATTATCACACTTAGGGAGGTGCCTAGAAGTGGTAAGGGGCTAAGAGCATGGGGACATGAGCAAATCACTACTGAACTCCTGTGCATCAGGCACTGCACCAGGCTGGGCTAAAGAACAAGTCACATAAAGTCCTGTTCTCTCGGGGACTTCAGAGAGGGAGAGGCAGTCTATTGAAGAGAAAGTAAAGAAAATTTCAGTGAGTGAAAGTGCTACCAAGAAAAATCAGGCTAGTGAGTAAATGAGGCATATTTAGATAGAGTGGTCAAGGATGCTTCTTGGAAGGGTAACATTTGAGTTGGGATCCAAATGATGAGAAGGAGCTGGCCAGGCAAAGACCTGGAACAGCTCAAGGAAGTGGCTGTTTCTAGTGTCTCTTCTTCACATAGGCTGGATCTCGGCGAGTGGCCCACTTAGTGGGGCTGCTTTGTGTGGGGCTTGGGCTCTCCCCGAGGCTGGCTCAGCTCCTCACCACCATCCCGCTGCCTGTGCTCGGTGAGTGATGTAGCAAGAGGACTGGTATTGAACCAGTACTGCCCAGTGTGGCCTGACCAGTTGCACAGGCTGGCACCCTTTCTTTCTAGTCTTCCTGGATGGATGGGTAGATGGACATGCGCATGTGTCAGCTGTCCTCAATTTCTCAGCCCAACATCTTGGCATCTTGACTGGGCTTCTGGGCTTCTTGCAGAATCAGAAATGCGCCTCTTGGTTCTCCCTCCCCATGACCTGCCCACTCTGCAATGCCCTGTGCTGCACGACCCCTCTCCAAATCCCCTTGATTTCTTCTGTACGAGACAGGTGGGGTGCTGGGGGTGACGCAGGCGGTGGTTCTGTCCACTGGATTCTCCAGCTTCCACTTGGCTGACATTGACTCTGGGCGGAATGTCTTCATTGTGGGCTTCTCCATCTTCATGGCCCTGCTGCTGCCAAGATGGTTTCGGGAAGCCCCAGTCCTACTCAGCACAGGTGCGTGGAGTGGGGAGGGGAAGAGGAGTTGCTCAGTAGTGGGAAAGCAAGGGGCTGATGCTTCGGGCTCTCTGGACTCTGGCCCTACACCCTTCTCTCGGCTTTGGTGTAAGTAGTTCAGCCATTTGCTTAACAAATATTTATTAAGCACCACGCTAGCCACGTGGGATACAAAGGTCCCTCCAGGAGTTACAGTCTCGTAAAAGAGATGAGATGTGTGGGAAAATGACAAGAAAGGTTTAAATAAAGAGCTGTGGTGCTCAGAAGCAAGAGAGATGGTTTCTGTTTGAGGTGATTCAGTAACATGGAGCTGGTCTTGAAGGATGGCAAGTTTTAAACATATTTGGTGAAAACAAGGTTATTCCTGATGGAGAAACCATTGTAAACAAATACATAGATGTAGGAAGTCATGGAATATGTCCCAAGAGCAACAAATAGCTCAGTGTGTCTAGAGTAGTGGTTCTCAACTGAGGGTGATTTTTGCTCCGCAGGAACATTTGGCAATGTCTGTAGACATTTTTGGCTGTTACAGATGGGAGAAGGGGGGATTGTTACTAGTGTTTAGAGTGCATAGAGAGATGCACAGTGCATAGAGAGATGCTGCTAAACATCCTATAATGCACAGACTGCCCCTGCCCCAAACAAAGAATTATTTTGTCCAAATGTCAGTAATGTCCAAAATGTCAGTAATATAGAAGTTGAGAAACCCAGGAGAGAGCACAGAAGGTAAGAAGTGGGAGATAAGGTTGGGGTTTTTAATACCAAACTTTCCAGAGAAAGGGAGCTTAGAACAGTCACAGCACACCTAGAGGGTGAGTGAGCAGGGATACTTGGGAAGGGCCTGGGTGTGGGCAATGGAGAGTAGAGGGATAAAGGGTGAGGAGGATGAAATGATAATCAGAAAGACCTGTCTTTAGTCCAAGACTTAAGTTTAGGTCTGGAAAGATATGCCTTCCTGGCCTTGGGTACAGTATCAGAGTTCCCTTCCTGCCTGGCCCCAACCCCCTGTAGGCTGGAGCCCCTTGGATGTGTTACTGCACTCACTGCTGACAGAGCCCATCTTCCTGGCTGGACTCTTGGGCTTCCTCCTAGAGAACACCATTCCTGGTAAGTTGAGGGCAAGCCATAGCAGACTGGGGAATGGCCTGAAGTCACACTCCCTGGGTTGGGCAATGGCCTGATTAACTTCTCTTTTGCAGGCACACGGCTTGAGCGAGGCCTAGGTCAAGGGCTGCCATCTTCCTTCGCTGGCCAAGAGGCTCAGCTGCTGCAGAAGTCCAGGGAGAAGGCTGCTCAAGAGTATGGGCTTCCTTTCCCTACCCAAAACCTGTGTCCTTGCATCCCCAAGCGTCTCTGTTGCCTCTGCCCACTGCCTGAAGACCCTGGGGATGTGGAAGGGGGGTCCTCTGAGCCAGGAGAGATGTCAGACTTGCTGCCTGGCTCTAGGGAACCATGCCCTCCATCTAGCAGAGAAGGGCTTAGGTCCCAGTAATTACCAAGACTCCTCCTTCTAACCTGGTTAGTTTAGTCCTAACTCCCAGCTTACTGGAGAGTCATCTCCAGGCTCTACTTTCTCATAGGGAGAGGATATGTATGTGTATGTGTACGTATGTATGTCTAACATGGGCCCGTCTAGAATGCCCATTTCCCAATAGGGTCGGTTGCCTTTCCTTCTCTTAATTAGGTCTAACTGTTCCAGAGAGAGGCCATAGTTTAGTGGGCCATGAATGAATGAGATTTTGCCTGTGAACTACTCAATGCCACTTGAACTCCAGCATTCACTTTAACAAAGACTTATTGGGCCCCTCCCATGTGCAAGGTCCTGGAACTATAGGTATGGAAAAGACAGGTCCCTGCCCTCTCAAGGCATTTACAGTTTTAAAAAAACCTATGTAATTGCTAATTAAAATGCAAAGCAGAAGGCAGTCTGTAATAAAGATTAAAATAATGCTATGGGAGCAAAGAGGAAGGAACAATTAATTCTGATTGTGGATAGTGGGAAAGGCTTTATGAAAGAAACAGTGAGGTGGCCTTGCCAAGTGAGGATTTTTAATTTTTCAAGTTCGGGGATCCAGCTTGAGCAGAACCAGAAGTCGTACCAAATACAAGATGAGTTGAGGGGTTTCAAGTTTCTCAGTGGTTGACGAAGCATAACTGGGGGCTGGTGTGGTCAGAGAAGAGGTAAAGGATGCGGTCAGACTATGAAGTTTATGCCTGGGAAATGCCTCTTATGGACTCTAATGCCACTGAGGAATTAAAACAAAACAAAACTAGACGGGTAGGGGACGGAAGAGAAGTAACTTGAGTTCGACAAAAACAAAACTTGGCTCCCCTCCCCTGTACCTTCTTCTGGTATTCTTTCTACTCCGCCAGCGCCAGGCCAAGAAGCGCCACTACCCTCAATCTCTCTACTGGTGGGCCACCGGGTCTCCCTAGTTCCCCCGGCCTCTGTGGCCTTTGGCTCTGGGAGCTTCCTTAATCCGCTCTCTGAGCCCCGCCCACGCCAGGTCTGGGCTCCGCCCCCGTGCCCCCAAACCCCGCCTCCAGTGTGGCGGGGGAACCTGCCTCTACTCTAGGCCTTTCGATTTGCGCGGGCGGGCGTGCCTGCCGGGAGGAGGGAGGGAGGGAGCTCTCGCGGCAGCCGACGGTAGGTGGGAATTGAGCTCGAGTCGGGGCCTGAGCCCGGCGGCGACGGGCTGCTCACACCCCGCCGGTCTAGACTGGCGCGGGCACCTTCTCCCAGGAGGGACCGCGCGCCGCCAGGGATCTGGGGCAGGCCTCCGGGAGTGGGGCGGGGCCGCACGGGCCGCGCGTGCGCAGTCCGCCTCTGTAGTCACGGCGGGTATTGTGGGGTATCGGCGAGGCTGCTGCTTTGCCGGCTGCTTGATGAGACCAAGCTGCAGCTGGTTGGCTTTGTTAACCCTTAAAGGGCCCCGAGCCGCGCCTTAGTGCAGCCGGTGCGGCAGACGGGCGGCAGAGCCTCTTCTAGCCAGGGGAATGTTAGCTGGACGCCAGGCGGGGCTCCTGGGTGGGGCTGTGGTACTGGGACTGAGGGTTCGCCCTTTCCCAGGGGAACAGGCCGCGGCCCAGCCTGGTGGTCTCTGGGGCCTTGCCGCCCTCTGCAGAGTGTCCGAGGAACTGTCCTAAGAGAGGGGCTCTCGGCTGAGGAGCCGAACTTGGTGCGGATAACCATTCTCCGGGGACTTGACCCCCGCTATTGCCCCCCCCAGCCTCTTCCTCTTCACTCAAGAGTACTAAACGAGTGAATGGGCTAACGTGAATATTAAAGGCAGCCTTGAAGGAAGAAAGAAAAGGGGAAATTTAGAGGCTTCAGACACAGAACGAGAGGCTCAGTGGTGGAAGCAGCCAGACCGGGTGTGGTGCCGAATGTGTCAGCCCTTTTTAAAGGGCCGGTTGCTCCTGGTCATATTTTTAACAACCCTCCACCCCCCAACCCCCGACAAAAATCCCGTCCATTTGAGGATTCTGAGCTTCCAGGCTTTCTGAAGGAATGGACTAGAATAATAAACCCAATTTTGGTGACTCTTAAAGTGTACACTAGGGAGTGCCTATAAGGGACAAAAAGGGTTTGGCGACTTTAATTTGCGTTTGTGACCTTTGGCAATGTGGAACTCTTATCCAGTGAAGACTAGCCTAATCATTCTAAGACCATTTTTGCCTTGTAGGAACAGCAGATGGGAAATGTGGGGAGAATACCATCTTCCAAACAAGGTTTTGAGGCTGCTAGAGATTCTGTATTCTGTACCCCCACCCCTCAGCGCTTCTCTTCATTGTGTATTTGTAGATGGGAATAATGAAGGAGATTTAGTAACCCTTCCCCAGCCCAGGAAAAATAACCAAACTCTGTCAAGCAGCCATATCTACTGGGTTAAGGCTACTACTTTAGTTATTGAGGTAGAAAAGTTAGTTTCTGGCTGGGCACGGTGGTGGTTCACGCCTGGTGGTGGCTCACGCCTGTAATCCTAGCACTCTGGGAGGCTGAGGTGGGAGGATCGCTCAAGGTCAGGAGTTCAAAACCAGCTCTGAGCAAGAGCGAGACCTGTCTCTACTAAAAATAGAAAGAAATTAACTGGCCAACTAAAAATATATAGAAAAAATTAGCAGGACATGGTGATGCATGCCTGTAGTCCCAGCTACTTGGGAGGCTGAGGCAGAAGGATTGCTTGAGCCCAAGAGTTTGAGGTTGCTGTGAGCTAGGCTGACGCCACAGCACTGTAGCCCAGGCAACAGAGTGAGACTCTGTCGCAAATAAATAAATAAAAAGAAAATTTAGTTTCTAGGAATTCCAGGATGTGCAACAGGGCATGATACAATTGGTGGCAGTGCCCTAGGTGGGATATGGAACTTAATTCAGTGTCTCTACCTCTGTGATATGCTGTGCCTTGTAATCATTCCTAATCATTCAGGCCCTTGTTGAAATGGGACTTGGGTCTTTTCTGTTGCTCCTGGTCACAGAGCTTCTTAGCTTTTTTGTGTATGTCATTGATCCCTTTGAGAATTTGCTAATAGCTGTGGATCTCTTCTTCCCACCCCATGTGTATATGCATGTACACACAAAATTTTCATAGGATTCACATAGGATTAGTTACATAGGATTAGTTCCATAGGATTCACATGCATTGACTCTGGATTAAGAACCTCTGTTTTTTCAACACTTGTGAGAATAAAATTAAAAAAAAAAAAAAGAAGAATCTCTGTTTTAGGGTTTTTTTTTTTTAATCCTCAGAGCTTCCAAATCTTTGTTTTTAGATAATGATCAAATAATTTGAATTTCCTGGCCATGACACTTATAACTTATGATGTTTTATGACACAAGATCTATTTCTTTTTTTATAGTTCTGGGAAAGGGTAGCATTGACTATTTATTAAGAATATAAGACCAGGCATGGTGGCTCACGCCTTTAATCCTAACACTCTAGGAGGCTGAGGCAGGAGGATTGCTTGAGCTTAGGAGTTCGAGACCAGCCTGAGTAAGAGCGAGACTCCATCTATACTAAAAATAGAAAAAAGCTGGGTGTGATGGGACGCACCTGTAGTCCCAGCTACTTGGGAGGCTGAGGCAGGAGCATTGCTTGAGCCCAGAAGCTTGAGGTTCTTGTGAGCTAGGCTGATGCCACGGCACTCTAGACCAGGCAACAGAGTAAGATTCTGTTTAAAAAAAAAAATGTGGTAAAGATGCAACAAGTGTGGTTTAGGTTTCCACATTGTTATATTTATTAGAAAGCAGAAATACTAACAGCAATATACTGAGGTTTAAACATTATGGAAGTTCATGGAGAACCTTTGTCATTTTACTGGAAAATAAATAAATAAACATTATGGAAGAAAGATTTTTCTACCCTCTAGGAACTTAATGTAGGAAAAAAAACCTCCTTAATATTCTAAATATTAATTTATTTTTAGTAGCCAAGAGGTAGTAAGGTGAGTGGTCAACTGGTTATATACTTGGAGAACATAAATTCATGCCTTCTGTTTTATTGGGGAGGATTTTCAGGAGATTTTTAGTTGATATAGAGCTGTTTGAGTGGTGCCCTCTCTAGACCTACATGCCCCTGGAGGCACTTTGCTAAATTAGAACTTTCCTGCAGATGGAGGAACTGGAGCAGGGCCTGTTGATGCAGCCATGGGCATGGCTACAGCTTGCCGAGAACTCCCTCTTGGCCAAGGCTTTTATCACCAAGCAGGGATATGCCTTGCTGGTTTCGGATCTTCAACAGGTGTGGCATGAACAGGTGGACACTAGTGTGGTCAGCCAGCGAGCCAAGGTAAGTATAAAGAGAAGTGCTGCTGTGGAGTGGTGCGGGTGATACCATTCTTTCCTAGTGAAGGTCAGGGGATATTAACATCAACCAGCTTGCTGGCCCATAGGTGGCCAAGCAAAGTTGAACTGGGTTGAGACAATTCCAATTAACACCCTGCACTTCTGCCTGTAGCCCTGGGATCCTTTTCCTCTGTGTGGGCAGGCATGTGCTGATGAGAAAGAGTTAGTTTCTGTACTGTAGGGATGATAATACATAATGTGATCTATATTACCTGATCTATATAGGCCTTCTGTAAATTTGTCTTGCCCAGGGCAGAATTGTGAAGTAGGTCAGTTAATCTTTGTGACTCTTTTTGTTTTCTTCTTTCCCATTCTGATGTTTTTATCTTCCCTTCCCTTCCTTGCATGCCTGTTGTCTTCATGTTAACCAGGGCTTTCCTTTACTATTAGTTATGAAGGAGCCAGTTTCCTTTTATCACCCTTACTCTGTACGGTTGCTCTCTCTCTCTAGGAGCTGAACAAGCGGCTGACTGCTCCCCCTGCAGCTTTTCTCTGTCATTTGGATAATCTGCTTCGCCCATTGTTGAAGGACACTGCTCACCCTAGTGAAGCTACCTTCTCCTGTGAATGTGGGGCAGAGGAACTGATTTTACGGGTGCGGAGTGAGCTGTCTGGTCTCCCCTTCTATTGGAATTTCCACTGCATCCTAGCTAGTCCTTCCCTGGTAAGTGCAATTAGAATATATGGGTTTGGGCCAGGCGCGGTGGCCCACGCCTGTAATCCTAGTTCTCTGGGAGGCCCACGAAGGAGGATTGCTCAAGGTCAGGAGTTCAAGACCAGCCTAAGCAAGAACAAGACCCAGTCTCTACTACGAATAGAAAGAAATTAATTGGCCAACCAAAAGTATATAGAAAAAATTAGCCAGGCATGGTGGCACATGCCTGTAGTCCCAGCTACTTGGGAGGCTGAGGCAGGAGGATCGCTTGGGCCCAGGAGTTTGAGGTTGCTGTGAGCAAAGCTGATGCCATGGCACTCACTCTAGCCTGGGCAACCACACCTGGCCTATTCTTTGATATTTTAAATATGTTCATTTTATTTTCTTTTTAAAATTTTTTTCTCCTTTTTCACTTCTCTGAACACCATTGAGTATAAATACATTCATTTAAAAAATAATAATGTAAAAGACAAACAAAAATGTATTAATAAAAATAACAGGATTTGGGGCCGGGCGTGGTGGCTCATGCCTGTAATCCTAGCACTCTGGGAGGCTGAGGCAGGAGGATCACTCAAGGTCAGAAGTTCGAAAGCAGCCTAAGCAAGAGTGAGACCCC